AAAAAAAAACGAAAAGAAATAATATTTATCTTCTTACTTAATAGTACAACTAATAAACAAGTTACTACATCAACAATCAAAGGTTTTCGATATACACCTAATCCGTAAGTAAAAATTGAGAAAATTTTTTTAATTTTATAGACAATAAAAATTTTCTTTTAGTATTTTTCGTTCTCAAAATCTTAATTTATAGAATAAAAGAGAATGTTAAAAAAAGAATATTGAAAAGAAAGGAAAAGAACTTGAGTTTGTTGGTTTTCTTTGGTTTTTTGGTTATGAATACACATACAGATATAATAATCAGGCATGCGAATGATCATTGTCTATATGCTTATGCATTTCTTTCATATTTCAATGAACAAATTTTATATTTCATATTTTTCTATTTATCTACAGCATGAATATTGTACCTGAATATCAAATTGAAGAACCAAAAAAGTAAATAAATCTTACATTTTTTTTAAGGTCATATATTAGATTCATATGACATTATGTTTATAGTTATAATGAATTTAAAGCAACAGCATCTCGATCTATGCCAAAACCGGCGCCTGCATCAGCACCTTATGACTATTCGCAACATCAACCACGTCCAGCTCCTTATATAACATCCCCACCACCACCACCACCGGCTCCACCTGCACAAGCAAAACCAAATGGTAATCTTTTAATTAACTAAAAAGAAAATAAATTTTTTTAATCTAATTATAATATTCATATTATTTTTATTTTCTAGCTACTAATAAACCTTCATTTAATGTTAATGTACAAGCAACACCTGGTTCCGGAAATCGTGTATTTATGAAAGGTAGTAAAGGTAGTGCATCATTAAATCAAAATGAAAATACCAATCAAACACCTAAATGTTATGCATGTGGTGTAGTCATAAGGTATATATATATATATATGTTTTTTTCAAATGATTATTTCGAAATTTATTGTTAAATAGAGGTCCATATATCTCAGCTATTGGTCGTTGTTATTGTGTAGATCATTTTACATGTTCAAATTGTTCAGTTAATTTGGTCGAATGTGGTTTTATTGAAGAGAATGGAAAATTATATTGTGAACGTGATTTTGAACAATATCTTGCACCACGTTGTGCTAAATGTTCACAGTCAATATTAAAAGTAATATTAAATAAATAAGATTTCATATTTTAAATAATTTAAATTTAAACAAAAAAAAAAAGGAATGTGTTCATGCACTTGAAAAAACTTGGCATCCTGAATGTTTTACATGTACGGCATGCAAAAAATCAATTGGTACTGGATCATTTCATGTCGAAGAAGGTCAACCATATTGTATTGAAGGTAATAATTAATCATCTTTGATAGTTCTTTTGATTAATATGTTTATGACAAAAAGCTATTATCTGTCAGATGAAATGACAATATTCCTATTTACATATAGATTATCGTCGAATGTTTCAAGTTAAATGTACTAGTTGCGATTTTCCTATTGAACCTGGTGACAAATATCTTGAAGCTTTGGGTGGCACATATCATGTTGAATGTTTCAATTGTTCTGTATGTTTATTTTCTTTTTTTCGCAGTTACTTAATATTTTGTGAAGAAAATAGAAAACTAAGTCTTATCTCTAAACTATTGTTTCGAACAAAATTCATTTTATTCAGAGCCCTGCGGGACATTCGGGATCAAGATTCTCTATTAGATGAAGCTCTCTTCTCAAATGTCTGACTTTCTGCCAATTATTTATAGCTTAATCTTTGAATAGAGATCGGATTTGAAACATCATTTGTCTTTCTTTGACAGAAAGTGAAATAAAAGTAAACAGGCAATGTTGTCGTGAGGTAAATAGGATTAGGGCAGGAACCGATCGATTGTTTGTTGTGGAAGGGACCTCGTCACGGTGGACTTTGTTCTCGCATTTTCTATCAAATTTTTAGCCCCTCTCACTCCTAAAAAATATCGATAACCCTGTTCTAGATTCGAAAAATGTTTGTTCCGCAGGATTCTAGTTCTATGATGTCAATAGAAGAAAAAAAACTTGTGACTAAATTAAAATTGAATTATCTATTTTATTATAATTAAATATTTTCTTTATCTATTATAGATGTGTCAAGTGAGTTTAAATGGTCAACCATTTCTTGTCAAAAACGATCGGCCTTATTGTCGTTTACATGGTCGTTCATAATCTTTGATTGACATTATTGAAAACTTATAGAAAATATAACCCTCGCATAAGACAGATATATTTTCATTTTATTTTAGAAAATAACCCGAAGGAAAAAAACGTTTTTAACTCGATATATATAAAATAATTACAATAAGAATTTTAATCTTGAATAAATAAAACTTCCTTTTTTTTTTTTGTTTATTTGCTAATTTTTATATGAAAATATATTCTTGTTAGTTGATGAAATAAAAAAAAATGAAAGTATAAGATTTTGAAAAAGAAAAAGAATATTTATTATGGGAATTTGTTATTTCTTTTAGCAGTATAGAATATATTTGTATTTATAGATTAAAGACATATTGTCATTTTTTAATTTTTTATAAAAGCAATATTGCTTTTTATTTTAAAAATTCAATACTATGCAAATTATAAAACTCATGTCGAAATAAAATATGAATAACTTCTTCTGACATTTAAAAAATAGAACGAAAAGTATTCTTTCTTCAGAAAATGAGAACAAGATATCTTAAGTTTATCCTGACATATTTTTTGTCATCTATGCAGAAGACACTTCTCATTCGTTTATTTATTTTTTTGTTTGTATTCATTTCTTCTACAATTACTCCAACAGTATCTTTCTGTATAATGCAGACGGTTCTATATTGAGTAATGCTTCTTCTGTTAATTATAAAAATGGTTGTTATTCTTTTACGTATCTTCTGTCAGTATTCATTAATAATAGAGAGTTTGCTAAGGAGATTGAAAAAGTCTATGCATCAACTCATATACAATATGGAAATGTTTCTTTCTTATAGAGCATCAATTATGGAGTAGAATATGAACTAATGTCTATGTTCGATTTATAAAAGTCAAAAAAGAAAGTGAAGTTGATTAAATATTTTCCTTTATAATGCCTTATAGACTGCAGTTTTTGAAGCAAAACTTCTTAGATAATGTCTTAAGCTTAAGAATTTTGACTTGAAGTTTAGTTAATGATAAAGTACAGATATACAAAAAAATAAGAATTTGATTGTAGCTGAAAAACTTTACATACATTCTAACGTTAGTACTTAAAACATATGATAAATCATTCAAACAGTATCAATGAAAAATAGAATACAAAATAAAACAGTGAGATCAATAATAATGGAATCACCATTGAATCAAAATAATTTTACTTATCATCTAAAATTTATTAAAGATATTATTATATGATGAAACGAGAAAAATATAACCATGTAAACAATGATACAAAAAAAAAAGAATTCAAGGAAGATAATGAATAAAAACCTACTTCTTGTTTTTCTGTTAATACTCACTTATCACAAAAAGAATTAGAATATATCTTTCAGTGGTAGACCAAGAGGACACTACATCTCGTATATAATTTAATTCTCAATTAAAAAATGTCCGTAGAATGTGAACGATAACTATTCTATACTATTTATCTTGGAATTTATAATAGTAGAGCGCTCATGAATATGTTGTGATTTCAGCAATCAAATCAATTAGAAGAACAATAACAATGACATGATTATTAGGAACATGAGATGTAGAATTCGATCCAAAAGTAAATGACAATGAGTGCATAATGGGTGGAATGAGAAAGGCAACAAATAATCAAACTTTTGCAGATTGGATATAATTTCAGAATGATCCAGTTATGAATTGTTGCTAACAAAAGTCTTGTCTGCCGTAAAGCATTTTTATTAAGAAAGAAAATATTTCAATGAAAATTAAAAAAATTCTGACATCTGTAAGATTGTTATTTTCAGTATTACTTTGAATATATCAGGTGATTTCAATTAACACCCAATCTTAAAAGTGTACGAAGTATATAAATAACGCTTGAATACCTGTCAACATCATAATGATCTTTTTTTTAATGAAACACAAGAACAAATGTTGATAACGGTATTAGTTTTTTTTTGATAAAACACATGGAGATCATAACTCATTTGCGTAAGTTAATATGTGTAAGGGACATGAAGATGTTTTTTTTTCATTTGTATTTACTTAAGTTTTTGTTTTAAATCAAATGCATGTTATAAAAACAGAATGAATGAAGTTTATCAAAATATGTCTTTGACTTTTGTATGTTCTCTCTCATGAATGAAGAAATCAATGTTTTAACAATTTTGTCAATGAATAAAATAGAAATGTCGTTTTTTTTTTCTATTTTTTTTAAGGGTCTTAGAAAATTCTCAGCTTTGAGAGAGTCTATTCAAACTCAATAACCTAACTGTTATATATTTTATAATACATTATGTCAGTCAAAAACATAGAATGATTTACAGCATGCTAGAAGAATAATTAAAATAATTAAAAAAAAAAACAACATTCTTACTAATATATGATGTCTTTTGCTATAGGAAACAAGCATATTGAAAAAGAACGTGAACATTTTTTTAATTTATATCCTCTTTCAAAAGTAAGAGAGTAACAGAGCGAAATAGCATAGCTCTAAAAACAGTTGCACATTAATACAGTAAAATTTCTCTAATGTGGGTACTATCGGAATGACCAAAAGTGTTCACTTTACAGAGGTACTCATTATTGAGAGATTTTTTCAGTTTCTTTTTTGTAACCTTAGGTATTCAATTGCAATCACTTGTCGGTTGTACAAGATAATCTTTTTCTTCTTTCCAACAATGAATTCAATTTTTTTTAATCAGAGGTAAATTAAAACATATTGATATGATTTGATGTTACTAGCTATTGACACAAAAATGACGAGATATGAAACTAAACACTATTGCTGTTATCTAATATTGGTTTTTTTTTGTCCTTTTAAATATGTACGAATAGTCCATCTGCTTTTCCTATGTGTGTGTGTGTGTGTGTGTGTGTGTGTGTACGATAATTGTTTATGGTAACGCAATACACATCAAATCATTTCTTTTCTTGTTTTATACTTACGTGAGTGAAAGAATATATGTTGCTCACATTACACAGATTGCTATTACTTATGGAACCAGAAATAAGCATCCACTGCTCATACTTGAGAGGCTCATTCCTAGCAAAATTTGCTTGAGCAAACTATAGACTGCTCAGTGTAAAGAGGTGCTGACAGAGAAAGGTTTTACTGTAGTTGTCTAAAATTTTCATTTGTAGTCTGATTTTATGAACTGTCTCACATATTGAAATATCATGACTTATGAGTCATTAGATAGAATGTATATATATATCATATAGTAATTTAGAACATTGTATGAATTCGGTAGGAACTAAAAATCAAACCTATTTTTCTTTGTCATCAAGACTTTTAATTTTTGTAAATGTTTGAATATCTATTCATGAGAAAGATCAGACAAAAACAAAATAACGGAGATCATATTGGTAATAAGGATCATCAACTAGATATTAAAGTATAAGTTTGATTTAAAACAAAAATTAAGGTATGACGTTAAAATGAATAAATATAATCATATCATAGTCTGCCAATGATTTTTTATAGGTCACAAATTTATTTACAAAACGAAAACAAAACTTTAGAAAGGACAATGGTCTTATAGAGAGCTTTTCTAATTGTATGTTGAAGAATTAGTAAATTAGTAATAAAAAAATTTCAGTTTCAGATTTTGTTGCATTCTACAAATGTTCGTAACGACAGACTAAGGGTATACATCTAACTTTTCATATCATAGCAATAATAAAAATTATCATATGATTAGTTATATTCAATTTCTTAGCATATTCAAAATGAATGACTAAATTCTTTTCATCTCTATTGAATTTTTCTACTGCACCTAAACTACGTGACTATACACTTGAGGCATTACGTGTGATTAAGAAAACAATCTTCAACAATAATTCTATGTCAAAGAAGGCTTCATTCAATGGCACTGACATACAAGGCTTCTTAAATGTTTTTCTTTTTTTTTAAACACTTTAGTTTTTGCGTATCTATAAAATAGTTTCCCAAATAGTAAAATTACTTTGTTTTGTCATGCATAGTGAATATAGTTGTATACTATATTTTGTCACATAGGTTATAAATAGACTGATGTCATCAACAAATGTTTGACGTCAAATGGATGCACTATAAATTTTTTGTATTAAATTTGATTATTAATAATTCGAAACCATAAATAAGACACATCACATTGAAAGGTCTAATTGTCTTTAACGTTTATTTTGTATTTTTGAACTATGTGAGTCATTTATAGTTTTATAAAAACAATAGAAAATTGATTTTGATATTCGAATAGAAAAAAAATGCACTCTTTTGACAAGTAAATTTTCGTGAAGTTAAGTAAGACTTTGTTAATATGTATTTTTTTTCTTAGTATCGAATTGTCCTTTTTATCACAGCTTTAGATTAAAAAATGTCAATCAAAAAAAAAGAAAAAAGAAAGAAAGAAAAGCAACAGTAAAAGTTTAAATTGAAACAACAAAAAAGAAAAAAAAGAAATCAATTGATTTTTCTTTTCCATATTCTAAGTTGTTCATGTCACCTCACATGCAGATTAACTTCCACAACAAATCATTTTTTGTCACGCAAAAAAAA